TCTGCAATAAACAGACCCCCCCCCCCCTTAATCAGATGTTTGTGACTGAGTTCATATAGATATATTAGTCATCCCACCTATGTTTTTTGTCCCTCTTTTTTGATGGCATATTAAGGGACTCAAAGGGCAAGAAAAAAATCTGCTAACTCGCATAGAATTCAAATACTCCTTCCCGTTACGTAAAATGCATTCATCAAGGAGCCTACTTAGCAGTAAGATTATGAATGGGCTGAGGCCTGAAAGTACAATATAAGTATACAGTTGAAATAATATGAAACAAATAGTTTTTGTTTTAACATGGTCTTCATCATTCCCATTAAGTAAAATCTTGTTAAAAATGTTGCACACACCTGTGATTTCTCTCCTGAGTTCATGAGGGTACATGGTAAGAAAAATAACACCTATCTTTAGATGTGTTTTGCAGGACAATGTGAACCAGGGCAATTGATTCAGTGTTTTGCATCATACCACCCATTGGACACTGACATTAACAGTTCCGAGCATTCAGTCCAGGCTCTCAAGCATGTCTGCTAGTTGCCAGGCAACTACAGCGCTAGGCATTGAATTTTGTCATGTATTCAGTTGTTAATATAATAATATAGCATTACTATAATTATTGATATGCAGGTAAAAATACATAGCAAAATTGTGACATCTCTGCTTTGTTTCTTAGTGGTGATCTAATAGAATGCGTGTGTGTTTAATATTCTTTTTCCCCCCTAGTTAATTGGGATATTTGAATGAATAGTCAGTGGTGAAAAAATTCTATGTCTCCGCTAAAACCATCATGATTATCTAGTGCAGTGGTTTTCAACCTGTGGTCTGCAGACCCCTGTGGCCCACAGAACATGTCTAAGAGGTCTGTGAAAGATGACTATATTCCATCAAAAGTATGTGAATACCCACACTTACAATTCAAAGGGGTTCACACCTCCATTTGAAATTTCCAAAGGGTTCCACACCTCTATTCAAAAATTTTTTGGTGTCCACAAGTGAAAAAAGGTTGAAAACCACTGTTCTAGTGCAATGTAAGCCTCTTACCTTTATTAACTATTGTAAATAAGTTGCAGTAATGAACCAAAAACTGATCTACAGATATGCAACCAGCATTTTCAACATTGCTGATTTCTCAGCAGCTCAGAACCTCTGGAAATCAAACCACCTATCTGTGCTTAAGAGTAGATTTTGGCTGTCTGGCTTTAGACATTCATTTTTCAAAATATTGAGTATCCATATCTGAGTTACTTCATTAACTTTAAGTATAAAATGCAGTAAGTGTTTTTTAGCGTGTGCAACATAAAGAAGTGTTTAAAAGTGAGGAGTAGCCACCCAAAAGATTTTAGAATGTAGGGAGTTCTGTTTGTCCAACAGTTCTCAATTTTGCAGCCGCATGCCATGGTTCCACACAAACAGATAAGTACTAGCCACTCACTTGAGAGCAGTTGGTTGGAAAGAGCACATGTGTGGATCTCTTTCATATTTCTCACGGAGAGAAGAGGAATTCCAGGACTTGCACCCAAAACCCTAATGCTAACTGTTGGAAAGAGAGCAGTTCCCCAATTCTCAGCTCCACCTGCTGCTTTATAATCCATGTCCTGCAACATCTTAAGCCTGCTGACCCTTACTCCTCCTGACATGTATTTGACTCTTCTACACCTTCTTCATGAGCAAAAATCATGAAGGAACTGACAACCTGATGCCATTAAAGATCACTAGGCACTTTTTGTAAGATCTTTACCTGATGTTCAGGATAATTGGACGCCACTTAAAATATATTTGCTTGGTAATCATTCTCCCTGTCTAAATAATCAGTTGAAATTTTAGGAAGATACTGTACTGCTCTGTGTCTATGGCTTTTGTTTCATCTTAAGGGGGCTGTATGTTAGGGTGACCTGTATCAATTTGAAAACCATTTTAAGAGCATGCAGGAGAAGAGGCATTCAATGTAAGATGCAGGGGTGGGGGTTAAATTATTTTTTGGAAGGCCATTTTCAGTATTTTTCTATATTTGCCAACATGGAAAATGTGTGCAGAACCAATACTTCAGCATTAGAACTGCCCTGCTTTGTTTGTTTTTCTTCAACAGCTAATGAAAATAGGTTTGGATGTTGAAGTTATACTGAGAACTTCTGTTATTCAGGGAGTTCACACAGGTCCTGACAGATTGCGTAAGTAAATCTGCATGGTTTCTCTTTTTTAAGGTGTGTGCTTTACTAAACTTTACTAACACAACCTGAAATATGCCTCTGTGTAAGTGCATATTTGCATGTGTGGTTTGTTCTTTTTTGTTCAAAAGTATGTTTGTTGTTTATGCTACAGTTCTCTAACTGGCATATTTGACTCCAAGTAATAAAGCAGGCCATGCATAATTTTTATTTCCCCTCCTTTGTGTAATAAACAAAAATATAATTTTAACAAGCTCTTTGTCCTTTTTGTATGAACTACCTTGATGCCTCACCATACATTGATATTAAGGGTGTTACCTTGGAATCTCTAACCAGCTAATGATTCAAATCATATATTAATTTTATTTTAATCTAAATTTTGCTTTTTACTACACTGTATTTAACAGATCTGATTGCATTACCTTAACTTTAAAATCTTATTTTTGGCGTTATTGCTTATCAAAGTGCTAGTGAAGTTTATTTAAATATATTAACGTGTGTTTTATGGCCATGTTTAACGGATTGAGAATTCTTTGATATCCTGTAGCCAAGTATCAAGTTTTAGTCTATGATTTTTTTCAAGAGCATAACATATTGGGCATTTCTAGATCGTTCTTCTATTGTTCTTTTGCTTTTGGCTTCTCAGTAAACATAGGGATTATTTAGAGAAAAGAAAAAGGCATTATATTAACGGTTTACAATATAATTCATAGATTAATAAAGAAGAGTGGGTACTCCTACTTATGTGTTATCATAATACAAGAGCAAAAGAACGTTCAGTGAAGTTGAAATTCACTTTAAAACTGATAAAAAGAAATTCACTTTTAATATGCACAATACACAACTTGTGGAACTCACTGCCACAAAGCATCTCTGAGGTCAGGAGCTTGGTATTGGAATGAAAAACGGTATTCCTCTAGATAATTAAAACATCCACAATTACTTTAGGTGGGATATAGGCAAAGCATTTCAGAGGGGATAGACAGACTTTTCTGCTTCCTGTTAATCAGCCAATTGCTGAGTGCATGAGGTTAGGAGACTTCCTCTGTGAACAGGTTATTTCTTGAATATTCATTAACAGGTTTGTTTGCACCTTTCCTAAAGGGATCTGATATTGATTACTCTATGATGCCTTGCTGAACTAGAATTTGGACAGACAAGATGGTTATGCTGACATAATCTGGGTTATACAGGTGTAATTGAGGTGTAGAAAGACAACATAAACCTCTACATCAGTGTTACTCAAATCCAGGGTGAAGCTAGCTTGGAAAAATCTTAGCAAAGCTTTTTATCCTAAATTATGCTGCAGTAGGAGTTGCCTGTTCACTTCTATCCAGAGGTATCTGTTTGCTCAGGGCAAACAAACTGTTATCTGCTCCCCTGCTACCTGATGGCAAGGCATTGTAATACTGTATAGCATGAGCAGCTGCTCCAGAATAGTGGCTCCTTTGTCTACTTTAGATCCCACTGGGCAAATCTACACATGCATATTAATGCACAGCAATACATTCCAGGGCATGTTGTACCGGATTTTATTGCTCCCAGGCGCACCTTTACACATGTGCCCAGGACCATAGCAAATTGAGCCGGGTTGGAGCAGCCCCAGCTGGCAGGGGCATGGTGGGGGGGAGGTGGTCAGCCTTCCAGCCACGGACTGGTCCTGTGTGGCTCAGTGTGCTGCGGAGGGGCTGGCTGGGGTGCAAAGGTGCTCTAGTACAGAGCGAGCTGGCAGGCAGCCCCCACACTGAAGCACGTACATTCGTACCCCAGCCAGCTGCATTGGAGTCTACGTGTGCGATGCTGCAGAGTGAAAAACTTTGCAACAGGACAGCATTTGTATTTGTAAGTACTGCCACGCTGCAGAGTTTGTTAATTTACTCCTTCCTAATAGCCCTGGGCATGTAGACATTAAGACATTTACTGCAGAGCTAATTAAGCAACTGCAGTAAATATATCATATAGATGTTCCCAGTGTAATCTATATAGGAATACTACACCAATACAGAAACAATTAGATGGAACTAGCATATAGCACTTACTGGGCATGTCTACATATGCTTTAAGATGATTTTTCTAATGTGTATTAAATTTAATACCTCCAGTGTGATATGTCTTAATGCGCAGTAATGAATATGCAGTTTTTAAGTGATGCTTAATGCACAGTAGCCTATTTTACTGCACATTAGTGTAATTGCATGGTTTATTTATGCGATGCTTTAATGTGCAGTAAAAAAGGCTAATGTGCCAACTGTTCATAATTTCATTGGTAGTACTTGGTACACCATTAAAAAATATGATCAGTTATCGTGAATATTTTCTCTCTTGGAGAGAGGGACAAAAAGATACATTTATGGATTTGGGACTGGATATGAAGGCAGCTGTCAAAATCTTGTCCACAATGGATGCAGAAAGGTCTATTTAGCATACAAAATTGTACTTGTATGTGGCTTTTGCTGTCAGAGATTTTCTGATTTTACCACTGCTATTTTCTGAAGGTCTACTCTGCTTTTTGCCTGCCCAGAATAGTCTTTTCTCTGAAGAAATACAGTATATGAGATGTGCAGAAAATGGGGTTTTCTCCAGCTGGACCTGTATGAAAACAGTTGTAATAGTATTTTGGGAAGGCAGGAAGATGGTTTCTGCTCATTTGTTAACTTACATTTAAGTTTGCATGCAGCAGGTCTGCATAACAGTGGTGGCTAAAATACCAGCATCTAGTGGTACGTTATCTGCTTGGACACTGCTGCTCTTGCTGCCACTAATGAAGCTGAATCTCTTGTAGGAGAAGTCTTATGTAGGCCAAGCCCATGTGGATGTAGGGAACCACCTAAATTAGAAGAGAGCGGTAGATCATTTGCTAGTTTGTCTTAGTGAAGATAGGTTAGTTACATCTAGTCTTCCTAGCCTTGTTTTACATCTCTTGTCAAGATCAGTTTGAAACTGATTTTTGTAACACAGATAGACATTTTTGTATTTGGCTGTTTGGTAAGAGATGCAGATTACTTTCTGCTTTTGTACTATTAATGTAAATTGCCTTGTAAAAGAATATTATTTCAGTTTTTAGGGTCTTTGTACTGAATTTTTGGTTTTGAAACTGTATGAAAGTTTGCTGTCTGATTTTAACTGACCCGTCCACCATGGGTGTTCTTGTAGAAGAATACAAACTTCTATAAAAACCATTTGAATTTTGGGCCAAATTTAATTTGATGGAATCACTTTATAAGTTGTAATTTGTTCAGAAGTAAGTTATTTACTGAGGATACTTCTTGTCTGAGGGCAAAAAAACAAGGTCAAATATCTATATTAGAAGCACTTTAAATTAAATACTATCATTGTTAGGGCAGTGTGAAACACCATTGTTTCATTTCAATGTCCATTTCACTGTTTCGAAGGGACAGTGTTTCATCTCGTCATTTCATTTCATTTCGAAGCACTGTCCTGTTTAATTTTGTCAAACTATAGGCCAGTCAGGAAACTATAGGCCAGTCAGTCTTAGCTCGGTCTTGGGTAAGCTTTTTGACAGAGTTATCCTGGCGCGTGTCAGCAAGGGGCCAGCAGGGGAGATTCTGCTTAGGGGCAACAAACACGGGTTTATTAGAGGCAGGTCCTGTCAGACCAA